TATGTCACTTATCATTATATTTATTGTATCATTCAATACAGTCATATAGCAGTTGGTCAGTACAGAATCATGTTCATTATAAGAAAAAAAAAACCACTACAGAGAGAAATATCTGTAGAATATATATAACGTACATCTGAACTCATATTCATTGTAATTTAACAAATTCGGAGGTTTCTTGTATACAGTGAAATATAAACTGTCGGCGAGATTATGTGAATTTCAATAATTCCTCGTAGATATTAAAATAACATCTCTCTCTCTCTCTCTCTATATATATATATATATATATATATATATATATATATATATATATATATATAAGGTATCCATTGGTCAATTAATTATACTTTACTCTTCTGTATTTTATTCATTCTCTTTCCTTCTTTTCAAAATTCATTTGTCATTGTGTTGTTTTTTGTTCACTAGATTAAAATCAAGCAAAAATCTCATTAATAATAGTCATTTTCATTTATTGAAAAAAAAAGGACTGGTTCTTTTGTTTAAAATTTAACTAAGAAATCTATCAGATTGAAATGATAAATATTCTCTTTTTTATATTACTGTTTTACCCACTTTTGTTTAAATTACCGTTTTAAATGATCATAGTCCAGTGTTAAGACTAAATGTCATTGAAACAAATGATTTTCATTTATTGATTTGCATGTTGTTTATATTTTGGATAGTGACTGTTAGTGGAATCTGGACCTTTTAAGATTAAGAGTGAATGCATTTGCTATGTTGTAACAGATTATGAGTCATACCATCTCTAACCGTTGATCAAGATAATCGGATGGACCCTAACCCAGTCTAAGTTCATGAGTTAATGACTTCATAGATATATCTCAAGTTTTACTTTGACTGCACTTCGCTTTTTTCCATACTTCTACATCACCTAAAACTGTTCATTGAGGTAGGCTGTGGCTGGGTATACATAATAATACATGTCCCAGTTACCTCATTTCATAAAGATTCGCTACTTTGTCTACCGATTTACTATCCTTTTTAGTACCCTTGGTCACTCGATGGCGCCATACATATAAAAACAGTGCATCAAAAGGATCTATGTTTGAATAGTAGTAGACTACAAATGCCCTCTATTTTTAAGAATCCCGCCCCACAACTATAAACTAGAGCAAAAGACATTGCTACTCAATATGTTCATCCTTTAATTTTTGGATGAATATCCCATCTATGCCACAAGTGATTTTTCAGAGATCTCGTCAGACTAACCTATCAGGACTGATAAAACTTCTAAGATAGGCGCCCAAATACATTGATATAGATCAGTCTTAAAACTGCCTTTTTAAATTGAAAAGGAAAGGAATGAACTACACACAGTCGCCTTCAGCTCGTAATTTTAGACTATAGTGTCAAATCCATCTAAGGAACCTACATGACAGCAACAATTGATCAAATACAATCTTGAATATCAGCGAAATAATACGCACCCTATAAAAAAAAATAATAAATAGATTATGTTACATGTTTAAACTCTAACCTATAACTTCGATTTTCTTTTTAACTTCAACTGGCGGTTTTCAGTTGGTCAAACTATAATCAAGTAATGTGTACCTAGAAATTATTTTTTATGATTGAAAACCTTGGGAAAAAAACATTTAAAATTTGGAAATATATCTAGAGTGAAAATGTTGCCATATGAATTCATTTGTGATTTCTTCTGCAGTCGTGATTTGTTGGTGCAATAAACAAATCTAATAACTGTTGATGATCAATAGACACTGAATATTGTTTTTTTATTTATGTGGTCAAGTGCAAGGTGTTTTTCTTTCGTTTGTAGAAAAAAATCCTATTATTTAGGTCAACGTGAATGTGTAGATCATATAACCAATCTTTTAGTTGTAAATTGTAGAATTTTGGGCGAGACTATAATTTGTTGACGATCTTTGAGCGATGCTAAAGTGACCATGAGAATGTCCACCGACTAACCAGGACTAAATTAAGGTTATAATCCGGTGTCAGGAATCAGAATTATGATTTACAGTTGAGGGTTAGGTTTATGAATTAGATTTAGGGTTTTCGTCACGAACTGATACCAGCTAATAATCCCAAAACGCTATTTAGCAAAATGTATAAATGAATTTCGCGCCAAAATCTAAGACTTGTTATTTTATATCTGATTGGTTCGTCCAAGAAGGGCTAAACACCTTGTGTAACACACTTAGGAAGAACGGATACCCCAAATGTATAATCACGAAGGTTAGAATAGGAGAATTACAAACAGTGAATAAGAAATCCATGTTCATGCGCCTACAATTTAGAGTGGTTACTGCTAGCAAAATATTAATTCAGGGATTACACAACAATCCATATATCATTCGACGCCGGAGAACTATGATTAATGTTTTCTACGCGCCCATTGATGACGCCAAAGCTAAAAGATGAATTATCTAGAATGACCACCTCATTTTACACTTATCAGTCCGACTGCTCTTGTGGAGCAGGTTATATTGATCGAACTTCCAGGAATTTACATTTTCGTCTCCGTGAACACCTGGCGTGGCTAAGCAAAGGTCTAGTGAAGAAAGTGAACAGCTCGATATTGGCTCATTTAGTGCAAACTAGTCAGAGTGCCATTGTAAACCATTCCTTTTCAATTATTTATCGGGTCAGTAATTTTTTTACCGAAGCCTGTCAAACTCAGAGTCCTTCAAACGTCTGAAGCACTAGCTATCCAGATTAAGAAACCGGAGCTATATGTACAAAAGAAATATCTTAAACCGCTTCTTTTTCTCTGGCCAACCTGGAGGACAATTATTCAGTAGTAATCTTAGCTACTGAATGACCTATTTTGACTGATGTACTTACAACCTTTCTTAGTCAAATGTAATTGTATCTGTCATCTTTATTCACATATCTTTGTATTATTATTACTAGTTTAACATCATTATTAATCTCTCGAATACATGATTCATTTACTTCGCATTCATCCTATTTTATTATGGCGTTGTGACGTGAAATCTCTTTTTGTATACTGAAAACATACAACTTTTGAACTTTTAGGTTATGATCTTTGTATGTATTTTTCACTAGACATCTTCACGTATACAGTGAACAGTTTTCCTTCAAATGTATGAGGTCTAGATCCATCAACTGACCTTTTTATTTTTATAAGATTACTTATATTTGGTAGTGACACTATTTAAATCATACTGTGGTTAATTGGTGCATACTTTGGCAACAACAAATGTATACTATTTTATCGATGTATTTATCTCATTGTATCAACATTTGGTGCTTGGACTTCTATATTCATTTCATCTCAGCAAACCATTTAGTCGTTTGGCTGTAAAACCTAATAACACAAACAAAGTACTTATCAGTAAATATATACCAATACGCCCATTTCTTAGCAGTAACACCCACCATGTTTAGTTATTCATTTAAATGCCTGATAAGCCATTAGTCCACATAAACGTAAATCTCTTATTTGTCTAGTATGATTCAATAGCTTCGAATTTGAAGAAACGCCAACAAACGATAGCAGAATTGTATTTATTCAACCCAGAATTCGTTATCAAGTCGGTATTATTTAAATAATTATCCAGTTTCAAAACCGTTGATACGTTGTGATTTTATCATTCGAGAAATAGTGAAATTAGATTATCACTAGCAGTGGAATCGAGGACAAGCGTTTTGTCTCATTTAGGACTCTTCATTTAGTTGTATCTGTGTCCCTTTGTTCATGCTCACAGTGATGAAATATCCATTGTTAAAGTTCAATAAATGTTTGGTACTTATGGTCCTCAGTTTGAAGTATTTGATTTATTCAGTTGCTCCGCCTGATTTCCTCTGATCATTTAACATTGGAATAAAATGCACTATGTAAAACTAGTGTTCTTCTCTGACTACATCTTGAAAACACAGAATCTTATTGTTACATACCCTGGTGACGGCCAACTTATTCGGTCAGCACCTTTTTCTGTACTGAGTTCAACAAGAAGCTTCAGTAAGAAAATAGGATCATTAAGCTTTCAAAAATAATCAGCCGTATTGTGTAAGAAATATTCTGCTGAGGACTGCTCTCTATATCTTCTTTGAAGTAGAATTACTGTGGTATTTTTACCAGTAATATACATCTTTAATCTCAACAACTCAATTCTAGTTCATCTGGTTAGAAAAACATCCGTTTGATCAGTGATAGTTTAAATAACTAAAGTAGAAAGTGCCATATTTAATTTATGATAATAGACTCTAAATTGTATAGCTACTAGTCTCATGTACATTATTTATTTATTTTAACACACAGATATTGGTACAAGGAGGCACCAAACAGATATGCACTACACAAATCTCATTCGGTGTGTGAGGGCTGTGATACTGTACGGGTGCCCAAACCGAGGCAGGTGATTTTCTTAGGGGGCCACTCCCCGAGCCTTCGACCTGAAGGTCTGATCCACAAGGCAGTGGAGCATCGTAAGGAGATGCAGTCCCATGGAAGCCGGTGACCAACAGTTGGTTCATACGCCATTTGTGGTTTCAGGATACTGGAGCCCATGTGCACCATTGGTTTGGAATCCGGTTAAAGCATCGGACATTCGCTTTTCGTCCTCTCATTTTCGTAAACAACACCCCCGCCACGAGAAGGCAGTGAGTAGGACTTCCTTGGCAGAGGCTATATACGCGTGATCATGTGAGAGCATTTCGAGAGGGAGAGCGGACTCTCCCCACTGTTGGCCGTACCAGGGCATTTGTGGGCACATCTACATAATAAAGTATGTTGTACTAAGTGGCATAAGATAAAGTTTTAAGGATCTGGAAGAGTTGATGGAAATGTGAAAATCTGGTTGATACTTTTAATGGTGTTGCGTTCTCTAGGCTAAATAGTTTAATCGTGAACGTGTAATTATCAGTCTGAACAATATTATTGGAAAGATTAGTTCGAAAATAAGTAAGTTTTAATATTAGTATTACAAACAATCTAATCAGATCATTTCACTTTTTTTCACTCTATCGACTTTTTTTATATTATATTTAAGGTTTCCTTGGAACTATGCTAAATACTGCTGCACCGCGTGATGGTTATACGACTTATAATGAAGCGATTGCTTCAGTTTACTCTTATCCGTGGTTTCATTTCATTTATGCCTTGGCCACTTTATATTTAATGACTCAATTAACTAATTGGTACAAGTAAGTTTACCCTTTTATTCATTATTTTACGTTTGCGTTTTGATAAATGAGAGTGTGACTGTTTAAACCTGTACTAGTAACATGGCTCAACCTATTTTAATTCACCGAGGATAATTAGGATTTTATTAATCAAATTTCATGTTGTGTTTTAGTATTCAGATGTTAGACATTAAAAACACGAAGTTCAGCTAAGGGATCTCTTTACAACGGGTTTATTATCAAATTGAGGACATATGAGGAATGAATTAACACGATGATGTAATGGAAAGGCTATAATTCTAGATTGTATAATGTAGATAATAACAATAAAAGATCGTGTATGTAGAAATTAAAAGCCTTGTAAAAGTAATAAGTTGACAATGGATTATTATGTGAATGGAATAAAGTAATTGAATTGTTTTTGTTGCAATAATTAAAGGTAATTGAAGATTTAAAGGAACTGAAGTGATATCAAAAACAGTTATGAATAAAATCATGGTGATATTTTCAAATGCGAAACAAAACAGTGACAATAATCTTAGTTTAAGACAATAGTAAAGATAAGGATAAGACGTATTCCATTTTTACACACAGTTCTGGCTTCATTTCATGAATGGCAATTACTGTGGATGGTTTAAGAAGATGAGTACAAAGAAATCTAGGGAGATTTGGACGAATTGTATAAACAACTTTAAAATCAATCTGTGAATCAGTTGAGTGGTTGGCATCCATTGAATCTTCAGGACTGAAACTTCTAACTGCTTTCCTCTTATCCTTGTAAAACCATACTGGAACATGCCCTCGTATCCGAGTTGTAAGCAGGCTCTGGCTACAACCTATATACGTCACGCCATAAGAGCAGGTGAACTGGTAGATGCACATAGGGGCGACCAAAAGAGAAAGCTTATCCTTTGGGGAGATGGAAATCCAGTTTATACTTCTCTATGAAGCTGCTTGGATAACCGTTCGCAGATATTATGTAATTAATATTACAAGTCGTGTTGAAAGATTTCAACTTAAAATCAGGCTAATCATGAACAATTAACGTAGATTTCCTGAATTCGACAGATCTTATGAAATACTGGAATGATATTTGTCAATGTCTAAAGCAATTAAAACTACGGAAAACTGAGCAAGCTGTTAATCGAAAAATCAATTTAAAATCAAGTTAGGATGTAAGATTCTGAAACAAGTTGAGATTTTTACTGACAAATTATGGAAAATTTAAGTACAATAATTACATACTATCTTCTATTAATTACTCATGATTACATGACTCTAAAATATTTTATAAATACTATGCCAATACTACTCATCTTTATTGAAAAACTACATGAGATTACGTCTACTTAATTCCGTAAATTGGATTCAAATTTACTGTTTACCTCAAGTTATGATGTTCTACTGACGCCAATTAGAACGGTGATTTAATTGATTAAAGCGCTAGAGTTTTGATGTATTTGTTTAAATCGTGCTCCGTTTGTTTTTAGGCAGCCGTATAGCATCATTCACTTACAATCGATTGATTGATGATTGAATAGTGAACAATATTGTGTTTATCTAATCCTTTAGTCCTAATTAAATTCTACCAATCAATTTGTAATCCGGTCACTAGTCTAAGTGAGATTTTATGTAGGTGGAGGTAGTCGGCAGTAAACCTTTCTTGGCCTAAGTTTTGTACTAGCTAGCACTCACCTTCAGTCTTGGGAGTACTGATGGTTCCTGTGGGATTCGAACCCGTATCACTCAGCCTCACTGTTTGTAAAGTTATCGCTGAGCTATTTGGGTTCCCAGTGATGATTTTAAAACTGTAGAAAGTAGAGCGAATCATAATGTTGTTTACAGTGTTATTTTTTTATATTTTATGTTTCTAAAAACAATTAGTCCACAAATTTCACGTGTCGATACTTTATCAGAATCATGGGCAAATATGTGGATGAAACTGGCATCTAGTTGGTTAGCTTTAATATTGTATGCATGGACTATAGCTTGTCCACGACTGTGTATTGGTCGAAAACTTGGTGCAGTTCCGTTTACACCGCGTACACCACGTGCTAAAGTCTCACAAACTATGCCAATTGTTTAGTATGTTTGTGTGGGAGAGAGAAAGAGTTTGGAAGCTGACCTATCCAATTTTTGTGTAGAGATTATTCTTCTCTAAACGAAAGATTGTCTTCTGTGATATTTTTGGTGTTTTTTCTACCAACATATGTCATGAAGTGAATACAATGAAAAGACAAAATTAACATTTACCTTTACAAGTATTATGACATCATATATGTATCTCAAAGATCGCATTTTTCACAAAATATTGCATAAGTTCTTTATGCGTTTCCATTGAGAAAGATCCTTCTGTCAACAATATATATAGAACGACATGAAACTCATATTTAAGAGTTTATTGATGGAATAATGTACCCTTTGCTTTGTTTATATTTAACTGTGTTTTAAAAAAGTTCACTTCACTTTGACGAATTATAAATAATAATAAAATCCAAACTATAATTGTTTGAATCTTTTAATACAAATAATATAAAGAACAGATCTAATTCCAATCTTTTGTAAGACATTTTCATTAAAGAAAAGTGGACGAACCTGATTACAGTAGGGTTAATTATGATGTCCGATTCATCAGAATAATCCTCCCCGAAGTTCATTAAATACAAAAGACTGTCTTGACTTACAATAATTATATATGCCGTATTTGTTGTTGGTCAATAGGTTATTGGTCAGATAGACGTAAATTGAACTCGTAATTAGTAAACTCTATCATCACATGGGCAATATAAAGAAGTTCTCATTCATAATAAGATGTATTTACACTTTGATGACGACATTAACTAAAATATACATTCGGTTTGTAGGTATCAGTGTCAAGGTTGGACTTGGTAGTTTCAAATAAATTGAGCATTGGGTAGAAAGTCAAAATTGTATTTCTGACTTAATGTAAGCCACTTCTTCAGAGTAAATAAATTAACACACGTTTAAATAGGTATCATTACCAAGGTTTGATTTGATAATTTCGAATAAATTGAGCATTGGGTAGATTGTTATAAATTAATATATTTGTACTATCCCAATGTGTAGAAAAATGAGATTTTCTGACGTTTCGTGACTTAGTGTAAGCCACTTCTTCAGAGAATAAATAAACAAATGGAAATTAATCCAAGTCTAAATAGTACAACGGAACAATAAGAATATTATGTGATCGATCAAAAAGCAGGTCTGAATAAATCAATGTCATGCTATTTAAACTTGGATTAGTTTTAATTTGATTATTTATTCCCCGAAGAAGTGGCTTACGTTAAGTCTTGAAACGTCAGCAAATCTAATTTTTCTACTCATTGGGATGTTACAAATATATTATTTATTTACACGTTTAAATAGTTCAAAGGAAACAGTGAAGAATGTTTTTAGTACAATCGAAATCATAATATGTCTGAATATGCCAATATCAAGTTATTCATGGTCAAGGTGAATTTGTGCGACCTGTCACTGTATTAATTTGTGTGTGAGAATGTGGGTATGAAAAATGTATGCATTTGTAATATGAAGTAGTAGGATTGAAATTGTGTGTTTGTATGTGTGAGTGTGTAGATTGTGTGGAAAATAAATAAGGTCAAATGTGGTTGTTTGGATAAACAGTTCAGATTGGATGAATATTCAGGCCCTCTTTCCGAATTGAGGGCTGGGGGATTTAGCATAATGTAAAACCTTTCGGCTACTCGCCTCTTCTTGTAGTTTGAAAAACCCTTCTGAATTAATTTTATATTTTTAATATCACTTTGGTAATTACTAAAATAAGCATGGACTGCTATTACTGATTGAACCTGTAAATTTTCCGATTCTACAGAATTATTAAGTCTTTTTGTGTAACTTAAGTGTTCCTTGTTACGAGTCGAGATCTCACGGGAAGACTCTCCACTATAGAACGCATCACAATAGACACAGCCTAATCTGTAGACGCAATTTTGTGTAGAGGTGAACAGGATCTTATCTGTTATTCTACCTAAAGCGTTTTTTACAGTGTTGTCTTACAGAAAGCTTTAATTATGTACGTTTTCAATATCCATTATAATTCTTCTTTCATACATTGTTGGCAAGATAAATCCACGGTACCGATCCAAGAACTTTCATTATTATTATTAATGGCTTTATTCAATATTATATTTTCGGTACAATATAGAATTCTCAGCACAAAGTATCTCAACAAATTTCTTTTCCTTATTTCTTAATCCGTCCTGATGACAAATTTTGAGTGATTTTAGAAGTTCAGGAATCGAAATCTGAATAATGTATATTCTTTTTTATGTAATATTGTCAGCAACCACGATGTCTCTTATTGTACTTTTCTGTAACTTGTGCAGCGAAAGGTCGCAAACATTTCATAGACAGCAGAAACAAGTAGCCCAGATATTTAAGCAGGATTGTCATTTACAGAATGACAGTTTTCTTTTATTATGTTTTTAATAATCTTTTTAGGAAAATTATTAAATTGTAGGATGTTTATTATGTCTTCTATTTCTTTTAGCTTACATTTAAGTTTATGTTGAGGGACTACCACTTTGTGCCCTAAAGTCTAGTTGTACATTGAGTACAAACTTGTAGCAGTATGTACTCAAAAGGTTCTCGTTAATGAAATGTAAATACTTATTTATTTTAATGCTGAAATAAATTATGTACTTTGCATCACTTATCAGACATCTGACAACTATCTGTACAGATTATAATGTTAAGATCTATTTAGTTGTCTCTCTATAGGAATATTTGAATTCAACTATCATAAACAATTAAGCTAAGCATTCACACATTAAGAGGAATAGTTATCTGTAATAAATACAAGGTGTATATTTACTAGTTATAATTAGCATTTTATCTAAGAAGGTGTTTAACAATAATTAACTATAGATTGTCATTTTGAATATATGATATGGTGTGTGTCAATAAAAATAAACTGCTTACTGACAAAAGATTGTTATAGCAAGAATATCTAGCATACTTATCAGTAATATAAACAGTTCGGTATAGATTTTTAAGGATCTATTCTCAGCGCGAGTTTTTTTCAAAATAAAGTAGTTTAAATAGGTGACTCACATTATATCTGTGAGTAAAACTAATGGTTATCTCTGAAAAATATCGTAAACATGCTTTTTAAGGAAATATATTAAACCAGACATGGAGAGTTGAATAAACATAGTGAAAAAATCTTCGTTTGGGATTCCAAGTTTTTAGAACCACATAGTTTCAGTCATATTATCCCCAGAGCTAAATAAGAAATAACTGATCGTTAAAGGTCACAGGGCGAAAATGAGCGAACACATGAAATCATATACAAATAGCTGGAATCCACATAGACTGAAGTGCCGACACTGAAAGTTAGTATACCACTGAAACCAGTTTCAAATATAAGTAAATATTTACGCCCAATCTGAATAAAATTGTTTTTTTTATAGCCTGAACTGTATTGCTTCATTTATCAAGTTAGTTCATGACGAAGATAAACAGGAAATAAATGCTACGATAACTTGACATCCCATAGTTATTCGCGAACTCTCTACTGGTAGAAACGAGTGTTTCAACATTATAAATCACCAAAAAGGTAGCTAAATATCGATCCGTCGTTAATTGACTCTAATGAACCAGTTTTACGTTACACAAAATGATCAGTACGTATCCAATAAGCATATTGATCAATAGGGGTTTTTCAATTGATCACCTAGTTATAGATACAGTTGAACTGTTTGACAGGGAACTAGTTCTTATAATTATAAGAGTATACTAACGTAGTACAAAGCAGTCAGTAATGTAGTGAATTTTCTATGTATAATAATTTCTTATATCATATTTCTAAGTGTGTCTATCTTCAACTCATGATCAACCGCAGCTTAAGTTGACGTGAATACGCCGCATACTGATATAGTAACAATATGTTCTTCATACAAATATACTATTACTAGACATTTTGGGATAAACTAATAAAATAGGAAGATAGTTACATCCACTGTTTGTATTAAACTTTCATTTTGTATAATTAGGTTTCGGATATCACGGAAAATATAAATGTAACATTATTTAGGACTGTCAATTTAATCCTCTTACACTATGTAACCGTACTGGTTGATGATAAGTGTACTTTTACCAATGAATATAATGACAAACCTAATGAAATGTATAGAGCCAAAATAATTTTGTCTCTCGGAACTAAAGGTATTTGAGTGCTTTGAAATACGTGGTTAGGTTACGGAATGGGTTTATGACTTCCTCCGCTACAGAAGAGACAAGGGAATGGCCAGCGGTTTACCACATTTATTAAACTGATGAGAAGCGAAATACTTTTAAAAAAATTCAGTCTTTTTGTGCGTGTTCATACATGTGTATGAGAAAACCTTTCTATGTACATGTTACGTTGCATAAATATTTTGTTTCTCCTTGGATGTTAAGTCTTCTCTCTCGTCCATATATTTTTTGTATATTATATTTAATGTTTGATCAACTATAATGTTAGAACTGATATTTACTTAAAAATGTGTTTTTGCCATTTTATTCATTTTATTTTGATATTCCCTGGTGAGTAGCGATTATTTTACTTTGCCTCTGACTATGATGGGTATCATATTGATCGATTATTTCATGGCTTGGCTGTGTCATATTTCTAGAAATATCAATTGATTATACATTCCAGTTCATCAAACTGTTCGGGTACATTGCATAATTTGCACTATTGCAACTATTTTACATACATACACGTTTTATCGAACCACTGTGTTTTCGACATATTAATCGGTGTGCATCATTGATTAGAAAATTAATCTCAGGGTTCCGGGCCTCGAGCATCACAGGTCTTTACGCAAGTCACCTAATGATTTCGAATGTTGTATCTTATACTTAAGAGATTTTAAAACTTGAAAGTATGCCTCAGATTTTATGCCCAAAACTGACTTTGTAGGCAGGATTTGTGAAGTGAGTTCATATGGGTGCTGCACGGCTTGCTGCAAGAAGCTTGGCTGATAACTCACATGAGGGAACCTTTTTCGAATTTATTTACGAAATCGTTTTGAAGGTAGGAAATTCCAATTACCGTCAATCCCATAAATGATCGAACTGAGACTGTTGTTTCTGTTTTCTCTGTGTGTATTCATGTTTTATTCAAATTCACTAACATCATTTATTTCTTCTGATTATCTTTCTGCCTTAACGGATGTGTGAACTGTATCTGGAATACTTCTTGAATGTTATTTATTTAATTCAGTTTTCTATTAATGCCAATTAATTAAATGAATATATATGAATTTAAGTGGGATGTATATTTCATCATCTACGTTATCATCATATCATAAGGGAGTCAGAAACTAGACACTAAAACCCTCGTGAAGTAAGCTTAAGGCAATAATAAACCAAACCAGGAAACTAAAACACTATAAGAAGAATATATTTAGTCTCTCTAAGTGAATGTCACACATGAAATGATGATTTATTGCACTAATCATTTTGCAAATTAGACC